CCCCCCCGGGCATTTCCTGGCTCTCAGATGCTTCTGGACTCATACCCATCCCCCCAAACACACACACGCCCACCCCCGCCATCTCTCGCACGCTGCTGCAGGCGCATCCAGGTGTGTGAGCGTCGCCTCATCCGAGGGGCCGCCCTGCCCAGCAGCCCCCGGGAGAGGGGAGAAACGGCCCTGCTGTCCTGTGTCCGCTCTAGGCCCTGCTTCTTGGCCGCCCCCTCTCCGTGCCTCTGAAGGGAGAGGGGTGAGGCGGGCTCGGGCCCGTGGGAGCCTGGGCCCAAGGAAACAGGGTGAGGAGCCCCACGCCTGAGATCCCTGGGGGGCTGCAGCCCCCCCGGGCTGTCCAGGACGCCAGTCCTTGGCGTTTACTAAACTTGTAAAGCTTATTAAAAACTGAGCCTGGTCACGTCTCCAAGACTTTAAAGCTCTAAGAGGTGCCACATCTAGCAGAACTCGCAGAGCCGAGGAGGCTGATTTGGGTTCTCAAGCTCCCGGCTGTTGTCGCCACCCCATGTCTCCCCCACAGGACCCTGAGCTGGGCGCCCCCACCTGGCGGCTGTTCCCGAGACTTGTTTGCCCACAACCCCAGCACTGACCTCTCCCCATCTCCCACCTCATGGGAGAGGGGTCCCGGCCCCTGCACCCCATTTCCTTCAGAGGCCCTCCCTCTGGTGGGACGGTGCCCCCTTTCTTTGCCCTGAAGTGGCTGTTGCCTGACATTTCGGCAGGAGAGCCCCCTCCTCCTCCTGGGGAGTGCCTTCGGGTGTCCGTGGAGTGTCCCCCACCTGGCCAGGCCCTGAGCTGGCTGCTGGGTCCAGCACGATGCTTCGCCTCTAAGTGGCCAGAGGCCCTGTCCCACCGTGGCCTTGGCTGGACCTGGAGTTTCTGCACACGGAGCGGTTTGAGGACTGTCCGCAGCGCTCCCGTGAGCAGGGCCGTGGCGGCCGCCACCTCCAGGCCACACTGGTCAAGTGGGTTTTCCCACTTGCTCTCCCCATAAGTGGGGAGGGGCTTTCAAGCCGCCCATCGGTCATCCGGAGAAGGGTGGTGTGTTCCTGAGAGAATGTGTCTGAGCTGCCCGGCCCGAGGTCCCCTGGGCTCCCCCACGTCACCTGGGGGCACCATCTGCCCTGACCTGCTGGCTTTCGAAGGGGAGAACACTTACACCCCGCCCCTCTGTTTTAAACGGACAAACGTCTGGTCCCTGCCTAGGGGTGTGGGGACAGTGCCAAGAGCCCTGATCTCCGGCCTCTCTGGCGGAGGGGACAGGAGGGAACTGTGTCCCTGGTGGGTAGCGTGGCCCAGGTCGGGGGGAGGGGCGCTCGCTTCGGGTGTTCTGTGAGCAGACCAGAGTGTGTGGTTTTTAGGAAACAAAGGCTGGGCTCTCGGTGTCCTTCTCCATCACGCGTGCGTGCGTCGCCTCTTCCAACCTGGAGCTGAGTTCCGTGGTTAACTGGCAGCCGGCCCTGACGCGCGAGCCGCCTGGTGCCTGAGAACCATCTGCAGAGCTTCAGAACACAGGCGCCCCCAGGCCCTGCCCCCCACCCATGGCTCCAGAATCTGCAGATGCGCACCCCCAGAGAAGCTCCGCGCACGCTTGCCCTGCGGTTCGCTTGGGACTGGGGGCCCAGTCTGAGAAATGCTGCTGGGGGAGCAAGGGGTTTCCGAGGTGGCTCCCCCACCCCCACCCCAGGGTGGTCCTCTTGCCCCGCCCTGAAGTCCCGCATTTCCCTGCTCAGTTCTGAGCTGATGCCAGCTCCTTTTTTGGAACAAGCGGCAAAATTGTCGCTGGGGTATTTCCACTATCAACATGACCAGCACACTGAAAACAGGACCAAATATTAAGCTCTACTCTCAGGAAAAACAAACAGACGGGCCATTTGGGCAAAGGAGAGTCGGTGGCTTAAATGTGTAGATTTTTTTGTGTCTGCTCCAGGCTGTTCAGATTATTCCTGTCTAGACTTAATTTGAAACACTTAAGACTATTACTGGGACCAAAAATTGGGAGGGGGTGGGAATAAAGATTTAGGGCGTAAAGAATGGCCCGTAATCTCCTTTTTTCAGAATAACCAGACCGCCTCGGTCTGATTCTTTTACCGGTGAGACGACGTTCAAGTGGAGTCCCTGGTGGCTTGGGGTCGGGGGTGTATTATAATCGAGTGCACCTCGGCCCACATTCCCCGAGTCCCTACTGTGTACCTGGGTTCTGATGTGATGAGGGATCAGGGGGGCACCGTCTCTAATTGTGAGGCAGCTGCTGTCTCTCTGAGGAGATTAAAACTAACCAACTACACTAACCGACTGCATCTCCAGCGATTCTGATGCTTTGAGGTGGCAAATTTTTGATCACCCAGCAGACCCTCACTGAGACTCTGGGGAGTCCATGATGAGCAAAACCAGCTAAGGAAATCAGAGCCAGCCCGAGACTTGGCCAGGCAGATACTCGGGGAGGCTTCTAGAGCAAGAGCTATTGAATCTGTTGAAGGGATCGGGGGGCAGGTCTTAGAGGAGATGGGAGCGGGGGGCGCTGTGCTGGGGACCCCAGGATTGGAGTAAGTATAGGAAGATGAGGGACACTCGAGCAGTGGAAGGAGGCCTGGGTCGGAAAACGAGGATCAGGTGAATGAGATCTGACAACGGAAAATTTTGACGTAGGCTTAAGGGACTTGAATTTAACAATGAAGTAATTTAATGAAGTTAAGGACGTTAATAAAGTTAACCCACTGGAACGGCTGGGGAAAAAAAAATGTTGGGGGTGCCCAAGGGGAAGGAGATATTAGCAGTTATTCAGAACTAACGGGAAGAGGCTCTGGATTGTAATGGGGACCCCCCACCCCTTAAGCGGGAGCATCTTAGAGCTTGTGGCTTTGCTGAACATGGACTGTGGGACTGAGAAAAAGGAAATCTTTTCGCTTGTTTGGGTCCCTGTCTTGCTTGCTGGCTGATTTCTCTGCGGCTGGGTGCTGAAGTGCTCCCTCTTTTCTGGCCTCACGCCCCCCGGTAGCTACTGAGTCAGCCCGCAGGGAGAAGCTAGCCCAGCCCTGGCCCTCTCTCCCTGGCCTGCCAACCGAGCTTGTGCCCGAGCACCAGGCCCACGCCTGCATCCGGGCCCCATTATGACCAGGCCTTTGTTTGCGAGGTTTTTGGTCGGTGTTCGTGGCTCTGTTGTGTCAGGGAACAGCTTCCTCTGCTCTGGGTTGACTGTGGTCTCATGAGCCAGACGGGGAGCTCTCTGTGATCTCCCATCACTGGGAACACAGGACATTCCAAAAGGCCACACTGTGAGTCTCCTGGAACCAGGGACACAGCGCTGTGTGTGAAGCCGTAAACTTCTAAGTTGGTTCAAAACACACTTCACTTGTGGGGAGTTGGGAGCATGATAGGTAGAGGAGTTCTTTAGGAGTTAGGGTTGACCAGAAAGAGCTCTGAAAACAATCTCATGCCAGGCATTGGCTTTATCAATTAATCTTTTATTACGAGTGGGTGCCCCAGGAAGAGGTGTTAGTTTACACTCTGAGGCTATTAAGCAAAAT